CAGCCGGCATCAACAGGAGGGCACCATCGGCGTAGCGATGGCGGAGAATCCGTGGCGCGCAACAGTGGTGCCACCTGAGGCTGACGCTCGCGTGAACAGTTAGAAGAGAAAGAAATAAACACTGGCAAGGCATTCCAAGGGGTGTAGCACGGGAACTGGGCCGTGGCCCGATATAGGAGCGAGTTTGGAGAAGCGTTCTCTCTATGGTCATCTATGATCGTCTAATCGAGGGTGTTGTCGAGGGAAGCGAGTGCACTGAACAAGAGGAACGCGACCACGGAGTGAAACATTGAAAAGCACAACAAGGGGAAATCCGTATGGATTTGATTGTTCGACGATCATGGGCAACGAGCGTGATAAACATGCTAAGGATGAACGTCCAGTTTCCTTGACGAGATCGATCCTCGTCCAACTTCCAGAAATCGTTGCGTATCTAGATCGTCTATCAAGATACATTTCTTATTATCTGTGGTCTGTGCTTGAGCCTGACTTGAGTCACGATAGGACGTGGAAAAAGCTATCGATACTCGAGTTTGGATATAGATTAGGTCAAGCTTGACGCTTCGAGGACACAGTGTTCAGCGAGGAGTAATGATTGACCGAGGAAAGTTAGGTGTGCCAAAAATGTGAGCCAGCCAACACCGAGAACGAAGTTGAAGTTTCTGTTTGCGACGACATACGCGGATTCGATATGTTCCCTCTGATTACTTTCTTTCTTTTTAAATTTTTCTTTTTTCTTTTTTTTTTTTTTTTTTTCTTGTCCCGAAGAGATCGAACAATCGAACAGAGGACGGATCCGTAATTGTCGTTGATCGTTGATCGGACGAAATGTCTTTCCTCGCGTTTTGAGCTGGGTCAAGCATAACACAAGTGAGAGAGAATCGAGAAACTGAGCCCGTGACGCGCGGTGTCCTTCGGAGCGTTCTCTGATGAAAAGCAACACCGATCACACGCTTTCGCGATTCCTTTCTTTGGCATAATTTCCATGTTGAACAGGTAGCGCACAATATTTGGGCCTTATAAAAATTATAAACAGGAAAACGAAAAAATAAAAAAAAAAGTAAAAGAGAAAGGGTGTCTTTCTTCGTCTTTTCGCCAACGGAAAGGCTAATACCGTGTAATTTGAATCGTGTTCTCCGTTTTTAAGGCAAGACGAGAATATAAAAAAGTAAAATGATTAGGAATTAGTAATTTATCGTAAGGAATTGAATATCCCAACGAGAAGGACAAAGAAAATAAAATTATCGAATTGCGTTATGAAGAGCTCCGTAATATACTTATTAATATATACAAATATATATATATATGTATATTATATATATATGTATAAATATATATATACGTGATGTATATTCAATATACGGAATCATGCGTGAAACATAAACGATTCTATTTATAAAGTAATGTGAATCGAGATCGATCTTGTCGATTATATAAAATAAAAAAAGAAAGGAAAAAGTACGTGTACACCTAACCTATATATATGTATAAAAAAAAAAAAGAGTATTCTACAATGGATCATATCTCGACAATATAAGGTAAACGCGCGATATACACCAAATTATCATAATGCGGACATTATAGAGATCGTGTCTTCTTGGATAAAATGGA